GTGCTTTGCTTAGCTTAGCTTGTTCTAAGTAGGTGCTTTAGACCACTGAGCCATCTCACCAGCCCCCTTGAGTCTTGATCTTATTAAAATGTATCATCCTGAATTAAGTTAGCACATCATACCTGGTATTTCCAGCCTGGTCAGATTCTCAGTCCCTAGCTTGTCATCATAGGGACTGCATATTGTAATGCTAAATAACTGTGTTACAAGTTTTGGCACATTTTGCCCAGGGGCCAAAACTAGAAATCTGTGTGCTGAATTACATTCTTTTGTGATCAGTATTAAATAAACTATATTTAATGTTCAAATAAAGTAATACTGTAAACTAAAATAGAATACTGCGCATCACTGGATCATTCAACAATAATACCCAGCAGCACTGCATGTACCACTGAACGCCAGCTTTCCATGGTAGGAGTCTTACCTTTCCAGAATTCTCTGGACCAATGGCCATGCCAAATTCAGTACGAATGAAGGTGTTATTGATGAGATTTGTAATATCCTTAAAGTTTTTTCCATAATCTTCACTGAAGGAAAGAAAAAAGAAAGAGGTACATTTAGAGTGCAGCTGTCCTGGCCGCTGGCTCCCACTGGCTTCTACTCCCCTTTTCACGGCTTTTCCAGGAAGTCGGGATTAGCCTGAGTCATTGGTTCAGGAAAGAGGCGTGAGTAGGTTGAACCAAGTAGATAAAACTGGGTTCCACTAAGTGATGTCAAAGGCTTCCCAACTAATCCATTAATCCACCATGCTTATAATAAAGCTGTAAATTAAATAAAAAGTCTTGAAACTTTTCCTACTGGCACAAGCATTTAATATATGTAGCACCAAAATACAATTAGGAAAAACAAACTACCAACCTCAACTCTTGGTTTCTCAAAACTTTTCTCAAAAGTTCATTCCAACAATATCTTTGAGAGGTATTTTAATCCATGTTTATATTCTGAGAAATAATAAATATTAGCAGCTATCTACTCTGACAGGGTTACTACTACATATTGCTTTTTAAACATTTTTATCTTAAAAATTTGTATTAGTCATGTTTATAGTACATTCAGTGTGGGGGTCTGGTACATGGACAGACAGTTCTTGGTACCCTCTGCTCACCCCTTCTCTCCCGAGCCTCCCCACAGCTTGCTGATCGCAATACGTATTACATTTAAGGAGCCATCAGTGAAGAGCACTGCACGCTGCAGTAGTTGCCCACTGACACACACAATCTGCAGTGGTTTTCACTGACAAAATTTGTGACTTAAAAGGATAATATAAATTTTGGTAGCAGCTTCAACAGTCAAGAATGATAAAACATGACAGATGCAAGAAACTGACGACAGTATCTTTTCCAACTCCCATTTGTCACAGGAGCTGCAAGGGCAGAAAACTTATCAAAAGTCAAGTAGTTAATTAAAAGACAAAATTGAAGCCACAGCCCAATTTTTAAATTCTCACCCCTAAACTAGACACTACTTTCAACCACTGTGAGGTTTTTTCCTTACAGCCTAGGTTCTTCCTTTCTCAGTAGAGTTTGTGGTCTGGCAACAGAGATCAACTAAGGGGAAGCTGGAGACAGGAGAGACATGGGGGCACCAGTCCGTTCAGTCCCTGATAGTATGTGAAAGCAAGTTATATGTCTTTCAGCAGTCTGAAGGACTCCTCCCCTTCCTTAGCACAAGCATGGAGAAAATCCCTAGATAAATAATATTGGCCCCACTCAATAGATTCCTGTGTTGTCTTATCTTTGGCTTTGGAATAAAAGATTAGTTCCTATCTTCCTGGCAGCCAGCAAAAGATGTGAATCAACCATCCCCAGTCCTGCAGGGCACACACCAGTCTTCCTGGGGTTGCAGCAGCTTGATTGTCACTGGTTTACACATCTCCCCTCCTTCATGACATCGCCAGGGAACTCAACAAACCCACTGGCAAGACTGCTTGCTTTTTAAGAACTTGGCACAATAAACATATCCCTGCTCTTCCGAAAATGCAGCATGAGCAACCCAAAAAATCAACTGCAGCGACCCTCTGCTACTTTAGCCAGTTAAGCGCATGGAAAAAAAGGACTTGCATCACCCACTGGGAGTTAAGTACGATTCTTTCAAGGCAGTTTTTGGCCTAGAGAAATACAGAATTTTAACATAGGAATTTGTCTAAACATAACTTTATTTTTCTATCAGAATACACATGCATATGGCATGCATTATGAAGAGGAAATAAAACATCTTGCAAATTAAATTTACTTTTCAAAATCTCTACAATTAAAATAATCATAAACATAGTCAAATGATAAGCTAACAATTGAAATCATATACTTTAGAAATAAGTCTTTTTGGAGCAGGCAACAAGATGGAGTGGTGAACAGCGGCGAGAAAGGCGCTCTGAGAGAAGCCACCCAGATGCTGGAATATGGCAACGGGAGGAAGATGAGGGGAGGGAAGTGGGTCCCCTGGCCTAGCAAGGATCTGAAGCATGTGGAAGCAGCCACTTAAAGAACTTAGCTAGGGCCAGGCCCCCGAAAAGCTTATTCTACTGCACCATCTCCCCAGCCCTTTTAAGGATCTGAAGTATGGAGGTGGTCGGCAGCACACTCCCTAAGACAGGCCTCACTGCACCAGGGAAGTGGCTCAAACCTGTGGACACACAGTGACTTGGCAGCCCCCGAGGCCTCCTCAGAGAGAGACAGCAAAGGAGGGGAGCAGTGGATGCGAAAGACTACACTAACTGGCTGCGAGTGCTGAGGGCTCAATTATCTAGTGCGAGACAGAGATTGGCTGAGAGCCACCTTGGAAAGGGGCCGGCTGAGCTCAGAACTCAGATCTGTTGCTGCCATTGAGCAGCTCCTAGCTGGGCTCAGGCCCACAGAAGGTGTGCTGATGGCTGCAGGCCAAATGAGCCTGTTCTCAGCCACAAGGTCCAGGCTTGCTGAGATTGTCCATTACCCTGCCAAAAAGCTACTGCTGGCTTTCTGGGACAGATCGGCACAGCTTGGGACTGACTCTGTCTCCACATGCTGTCTGCCAGTGGCAGCAAGTCAGCCCTGGAAGTGGACCTTCTCTTTCACTTTGGCTGCTGCTGTTGTATTTGTTTTTTTCTCCTTCATTGTTTAATATTGTTTTTATATGTGGTTTCTGGCCTCTTTGATTGTTGTTCTGTTCTGTCCTTTTTACCTCTTCCTTCTCTTTTTTTTAAAAAAAAATTATTTATTTATGTGTGTGTGTGTGTGTGTGTGTGTGTGTGTGTGTGGCCAGCTCAGCCCACCAGGGGGCAGCGCTGGCTGGCATGTGGTGCTGGGGGATTGAACCGCGGTCCCTGTGCTCTGTTAAGCTTGTTCTAAGTAGGTGCTTTAGACCACAGAGCCATCTCACCAGCCCCCCCATTCTCTCTTCCCTCCAGTCATCTGCATCAGTTTCCCAAAGCGAGGGTAGATCCCTCTTTGTTCTCCAGCCTTACTTCTAATTTCTTCCTCTTCTACCTCTCTATTTTTTCCTAACTCCTTATAAATTTAAGCTCTGAGGGTAAAATTGACATATTAAGGACTTATATACTGCATATAATTTTCTAGTCTGTTTTAGATTTTGTTACACAAGCACAAGTCTAGTTTATATGGTTAGAGGTGGCAAATTAATGATTACCTCAGTTTGTCATTTTTTAGGCTATGATTGATGCTATTATTGTTGATGGTACCACTTTAGCCAAAAATGACAGAACTGTTCTAAACAGACATTCTTCCTGATATTCCAAGACTGAGATTGACTAAAGCTCATAGAAAATACTGTGGCACAGTGTCAAAGAACCAGGGGCTGGGCCAAACAGGCAGCAACTTCTTATCCCCAACGAACTGCACACATAGGATCTTGCAACAGACTCAGAACCAAAAAATCAATTATGCTTGGATGACAACTCAGAGAAGTAGTCACTTTCTAAGGGTTATAAATACTAGCAATAAAGCAACCCATCATAGGCAATTTATAAGTATGATCCAAGGAATTAAAACAGCAAAAAAAAAAAAAAAAAGAGAGAAGACACTTAAACAAGATGCAACCCCAGACATCCAGTTCACAAAGGCAACCCAGAAGGCAATGAGATGGGACAATCCAAAAGCCACCTACCTGGCCTCACTAAAGTGCCAACAACAAAGCAACTGAATAAGGCTCTAGAAAAAAATCAAATCAGAAATAATTTTTCATATAATTGCAGGGATGGTTTCCACAATGAAAACTATTCTTAGTGACTCTAGAAAAGATACTGACCAAAAAAATAGAAGAGCTGAAAAAATTATGGAAGCCATGAATGTTCAGCATAGAAAGTAAATGAAATCCATAAGGCAGATTCAAGCAGATATCCCAGAGAATAAAAATTCCATTGAAAGTATTTACAGCAGGTTAAGCCAATGTGAAGACAGGATCTCAAATATAAAAGACAGGCTTGTAGCTAGTGATCATGAAAAGATTTCTTAAAAATAGCAAGAGACCATAAGAAATCAATCAGCAGCTACTTAGATGAGGAAAACAAGAATAACTTAAGATTGATTGGAGTCAATGAAAAAGCAGAGATAACACAAATGATATAAAGAACCTGTTCACAGGCATCATGGCAGAAAACTTCCCTGGTAGGGAAAAAAATATTTGATGCATAGATAAGTGAGGCATATAGAACTTTAGTTAGCCTTGATTAAAAAAAAAAAAAAAAAAAACCACCTTGTGGTGGGCATATTATAACAGAGTTTCCAGAAATTTCACACAAGAATAGAATCTTAAACACCATTAGAGAAAAGAAACAAATCATTTATACAGGAAAGCCCATCAGAATCACAGCTGACTTTTCAGCACAAACCCTCAAGTCAACGAGAGCTAGGAATGAAGTATTTCAAGTTACAAAGGAAAACAACTTTCAACCCAGACTGATGTACCCTATAAAGCTATCTTTCAAAACTGATGGAGAAATATACTTCTATGACAAAGAACATCTCAGGAAAATTATGACCACCAAACCAGCAAATGTTTTCAAAGACACTCTAGAAAGATAACAAGGACTAAAACTCCATGAACCCCAACCAAAAGAATCCACAAGGCAAGGCAAACAATTAAGCAGAGGGAGGGCAAAGAGAGGAGGAGAGCCAACAACAGAAAAGTAACAAGGAAAAGTCAGTACATATCACTTATAACCAGCAATGTCAATGGTCTCATTTCACCAATCAAAGACTAAGACTGGCAGAATGGATCAAGAAGCAAGATTCAAGGGCCGGCCAAATAGCTCAGCAGATTAAAGCACCTGCAAGAAGGTGAAGGGACCAGAGTTCAATCACCGGGCCTGCAGTGCAGCCCCACCCCTGGGGTACACTGAGACAGCAATTGAGACTGGGTGTGGTGGCACACGCCTGTAATTCCAGATCTTGGGAGGCTGTAAACAGGTGGATCACAATGAATGTGGTCTAGTAGTGAGACCCTGAATACCCTATAGGCCCTTCCCTTAAAAAAAAAAAAAAAAAGTAAGATCCAACAATATGCTGCATACAAGAAACAAATTTAATTAAAA